ATATTTAAAAAAAATTAAATAGGTACCCCCGTTGGAAATATTTTTTGATACCTATGCATCGTAATTGTACCTCAACACAAAAAAATGTGGCGGCTAACTATTAATTCAATTTTTGTAGTTTTTACTTTTGTTACATATTATTTGTCGATTATTGTTTGTGGAACCATATATTAAACGTGGTTAATCATCCTAATGGATTAGCTGAAGACAAATTCAAAGTTAGTTCCATACGATTCATGTAAAGGGCATATTATTCCCTCTACCATTTACATCCAGGGGAGGTTCTGAACTTAGGTACCTCAGCTAGAGATGGAACATTGGACTCATCTTTAGGCTGCTATGATATATTGGGAAGACTCTCCTCATTAAAAACATTTCATTGACATTAGCGCTCAATGTCACCAACATGAACCACACATACAAACAGGCTTCAGATTTTGTCTTGGGATGAGAGATCTACATATACTACTAAAAGTCAAGGTTGAACCCATGAGTTTTTGATTATTTTTTATTAAATTCAGATATTTAGAAATTAAATTAACTTAAAAGAACTAGTAGAAACATTATCAGGCAAATATCAAAATAATGTCCCAAAGTATTATGGCGCCAAAGTTTTGGTATTGCATAAATGAAATAGAGACAATTCAAGATATAATGCTCTAACTACTTCAGAGTTGTGAACAGTTTTCTAGCGAGGCATGAGTGCAGTAGGTGTGAGCATTGGCTGTCATTTCTGGTGACGTCACTGTCCACCGTCGCTGTCAACCACACTAAAATTAGCGTCACTCGCTTTGTGTCAGAAACTGCCAGTTCGTTGTCGTCTGTGTCCCTCTGTCTGTCTGTAACGATACTTGGTGCGGCTAGTGTTGTGCTTTGCTGTCTTCTTAATTTGTTTTGTAAGTCTTTGTCTTATAAGTCTCTTGGTTAGCTTTTATTTATATGTTGTTCAAAGTTTGGAGTGTAGGGTGTTTAGATCAAGTGTGGCACTTGGTTTAGCCGGCTCATGTTAACAATGTATATAAAGTATGCAGGTAAACTATTTGTATGTAAAATATGTGTAGGGAAAGTAGTAATTATGTAGGTAAGAGAACAGCAAAACTTGGTGCACCCAGATTATGTTGTCTTCTTAATTTGTTTTGTAAGTCTTTGTCTTATAAAACTTTCATTTCTAAGTTGTATTATGAGTTGTTCAAATTTATGTGGTGATGTGTGCTGTTTATCAAATAATCTAAAAAAAAATGGTACAGGTATTACTGTTGTTTGTTTATTTTGCTTGATCTCGTCTGTTACTTATTGTTTTGTCCTTAAATTAGTGTCAAATGTCACTAAATAATACAGTAATAAAATAATAGTAATAATAGTAAGTCTTTGTTTATCATAATGATACGTTACATACCATCAACAAATACGAATATCTTTTTAAGTCAACTATCACATAATAATCATGACATTTGTGACAATAATCATGACAAATAATCATAACAGAGACACAATACTATTATATTAGTTTCAAATTTGTCTCTCAAATCATCCTAAAAACAAATGTTGCTGAGAGTAAACCTTTTAGATATTTTTTTCATGTGTGTTTACTATTTCAGTTACAAATCAATATTGATCCTTTGATAATGAATTTTTGGTTGATTTCTTTTTTGTCAATTTATTTTTATGTCATGTGTAACTTATGATTTAATCAGTACTGTATAATATTTACTGTATAATATTATTGTTTTTGTTCTTAAAACCTCAAATAAAATATTCTTTATTCATAATTATGTACATTGAATGATATTAATTCTTATTTATAAAAGTATAAAATACAAATAAGTACATTCAAATTTACCTATTTACAATATATACATCTAAATCTTACCAACGCCATTTATAATATTTAAAAATTCATAAATTGAATAACAAATGTTCTCAATCATGAATGCCTTTAAATTGTTAATGCATTTCTTAATGTTAGTCTCACTTTTTAAGCTTTCTGGCTGTATATTAAAGAATTTGGCGCCCATATATGTGTTTTTTTTTTCAATCTAATTTATGTGTTTCTAATTTCAAATTATTTTTGTGCCTTGTGTTATAATGATTGTGGCCCAGAAAACTGGTATTAGTCATGTTTTGTTTCACATAAATAACACTTTCATATAAATTATATACTGACAAAATACCTAGTTCACAAAACTTTTACTTTACATGAGCCTTGTTCTTCAAACCTAGCATGATTCTTATACATTTCTTTTTGAGTTTCAATATTTTTCTAAAGTTTTTGTTTGTTTTTGTTCCGTATACACAAATGTTAGTATGTACAAAATGTGAGTGAATCAATCTAAAATATATTACTTTTTAAGTGGCTAAATCACATAATTTAGATAATCTTCTTAGGACAAAAATTTCTCATTTCATTCTGCCTTTAACTTTGTTAATATGTTTATTCCATCTAATTAAAACTGCAATCCACAATCAAACCCAAAAATTTAGCATCCGTTACCTCTGAAATAATATTGTCATTTTTTTTATATTTCTGTTGAAAAACAATTTTGGTTCTTTTTTGTATTAAAATTTACCTTAAATTAAACCTTATGCTCCCAGAAAGATTCTCACTTATAAATTACTAGCAGAGTACCCGTCCTTTGTACAGCGTTGGCATATGTATAAAATGCTTATTGCAGTTATGGGAGAGGACACGGTTTAAGAAAATTTGGTTCTTTTAATTTATATAATAGGCTATATAAAGTATAGCACATCTACCAATAGCCATAATGCTCTACCACTGCACCTAAACCATAGAAAAAAAGTAAAGTTCTAATTGTGTACCACAGCTTTTTGTTACTAGTTGGTTCAAATTAGCTGTTGTCATAAATGCAATAAAATAATAGTGCTGCATCCTGGTGGTAAACCTTAAAACTTTTTAATGCTATTTGATATCATAGAACCAACTTCTGCAGTTGAAACAGCTTACAAAATTCTTTAATAAATTCCTTTTAAATATGAATACCGGTACTCATAAAGTTAACACGGGAAACTCCAGAGCCACTGGGGTGGAGCCCGAAAGGACTTTTGAGATAAGAATATGTCTATATGTTAATCAGGAATGTGTGCTATCGTCATACCAAATTTAAACCCTATCAGCTTAGTATTTTTCTTGTTTACTTGTAACAAACATCTATCCATCCATACAAACTTTCCCACTTATAATATTAGTAGGATTCACTATGAAAACTTAGCATAACTAGCTGAAACTGGTCAATGTCTCTTCAAGAAATCTAGATTTATTATTGTAGATAATCCATATTAATTTTGACTGTCAAAAGTAATCTATCCATTTTTATCAGAAGAAGTACTTTGTACTTAGCAAAGGGGTTCAATTCAATTTTTTTTAAATTCCCTGTACCTGTGCAAGAAAAACTAGATACAATGAGTAAAACCCATTTTTCTTGGTTTATGATTGTAAGAGTTATTGCTAAGGATCCGCATAGGTTAGGTCAGGAAAGAAGTCAAGGCCATTTCGATGAAGGTAATTGTGTCTGAAGTGTTAATCACGGTGTCAATTGTTTCTGAATCATCTTGCTCACCCTCTTTGTCCAATTAAGACGTCAAGTGCATCAACCTTATTGCGCTTTTATTATTTTGAAATGAAATCATCGACTTAATTATTTACAGTGGATAAAGAAATCAACATTTGCAAAGATAAGGTTGACAATAATCAGGCTTTCAATTATTGTAATAGCTACTTAGTTGCTCATTAATCACTAAGTTAGGGATGCAACATAGTCGTATTATCCTAAATATGAATAGAAAATTTGTGTAAAATAAGTTAAATGCCTTATGTAACTTTGTTACTGATTTAAAAAAAAGCTGTTTAGCCAGGAATAGTATTTTTACAACTGCTTTTTTCCGCATGGAAAGTCCATTAAAACAATGTTGTGCGCAAAATAGTATATTACGTTACTAGTCTGGAAAATAGGTGTTTACCGTACGAGTATGGGAGTGGGATTTCTATTTGAGGACGGTAAACATATTTTGGAAGAGTGACATACACTATTTTTTTCCCATAGGCTACTACTTACTAACAACTAACCTAACAATAAAAAACGGTACAAATCTGTTATACAGGGTGTCCCGGAACTCTCTACCAATATTTTAGGGCATTGTTCCTGGGTAAGAAACATATCTAAATATCATATTTAAATTGTCCGGAAGTCCTTAGTTAGTCAGATAAAAAAAATTTACAATCTATCTAAGTTCTATCTAAGGCTTTCCTAAGTATTCTAAGGCTATCTGAGTAAATAAGGACTTCCGGACAATTTAAATATGATATTTAGATATGTTTCTTACCCAGGAACAATGCCCTAAAATATTGGTAGAGAGTTCCGGGACACCCTGTATATTTCTTCAGATTGATCAACAATCACTAGGTATTCATAACTTCTAAGAGATTATTTATTGTTTATGACCCCTCAATGCCAATTATAATAATCAGCTGGTGTCAAGTAAGATTCATTACTGTACAGTAGTACAAAATGAAACCCCATTCGATTAAGGAAGCGGCAAACAGCTGTTTTCCAAACTAAATTCATGTATGGAAAGTTATTAAAACAACGTAGTTTGGCGTAAAACATATTAATTAAAAGCCCAACAATCAAAGATATCTGGGTTTAGTTTCTAGCTTAGAAAAGTTTCTACTTTTTATCAAGAACGAATAGGCAACCTGCAGATTGTTTAGCGACCACAATAACCACTCAGCTACACAACTTTGTGAAAGCCTTTTCACAGATATATAATAAAGTACAAATTTTGATCTTACATTACAAGTAAAATAAAAGGTCTGAATTTGAACTGTACTTAACAATAATTTAAAAGTTTAAACATTGTAGAAGTGTTATTTGGCTCTATTAGATACTTGCACACCTATTGTAAATGTTATTTGTGGTCTTTGTTTACTAATAACTAAAATTTTCAACAGGAAACTTGATAAATTAATCGGTTTTTTAATGCAGGTTTTGAGAAGGACCAAAATGAACCGAAGAAAAGCATTGTCAACCCGCCCACTAAGTGTCGAGATATTGCCGTCAGTCGGGGAACCAATGAGGTAATGATTTTTTTGCAATTAAGTATAACAAAATGTCACAGTTGAAAATAGATAAAAGGTTTCCTGTAATAAAACTAATTGGACTATTTACTTCTAAGTACTAAAAAATAATTTTTAAGTCTCCAGTCTTGTTTTGACACCAGTTCAACTTGTTTAAAAAACAAGTTAAAACCATTGTGTGTTTGACCATACATTAGTTTGGCAAAATTAGATTTACAGAGTATAGTAAACATTAAAGTAACGCTGCAATAAAACCAGTTTAATTGAAAACATCACTAGCCAAACATGCTGAAACCTGTTTGTTTACGTGGCTGTCGCTAAAGTGGCAAGTCTCTGCAGCTTTTTAAACCTATTTAGGAGTCTGAAGCATTCAAAGTTTGAAACCAAAAGCATCCTAAAGAGTGATAGTCTGTACTAAATGTTCAAGATTTTAAAAATTGTTTAAACATTTTATTCAGTGAAAGTGCTATTTTACCACATTAAACATTCACAATTTGAAATTGTATATTTTTTTGTTTTATGGTCCAAGTTTGCTTTGACTCGTAGATTATTTTAATTTGAGTTGAGTGTAATTTGGAACATTTAATTACTGTTTTGTGATACATTTATTTATGAACCTTTGTTTGATCAAATAATGTACTTTGTAATTACTTTTGATTCCTAAGTTCTAACACATAATGCTTGAAGAATTAATGTTATTGAAAATTCATACAAGCCAACATGAGTTTTAGTTTAACAGTGCATGTTTTATTCTTGAACCATATACTGTACTTTTATTTAATTTGATATGCTTTCCAGTATGCTTAAAATTGGTATGCTTTGCTTTTATGATTAATTTGTCGATTGAATTAAAATATGTTCATACTGATTTAATAGCTTCAATAAGCAAATTTACGCACCAGTCTGTGTAATTGGTTGTTTTACTTTTGACCAAAAGCAACAGCTAGATGAGCTTTTAGATAAACAATTTAAGTCAATATAATTTCCTCTTTATCCAAACTCCAAACCATTGGACTTGATTCGTAAGTTTGGTATATTTTGGGGAGGGGTCTACCGTTTGTCCAGTTGGAAGCCACTAATCACTCAGTCCCCCATCACAACTTTCAACCTGTCAGAAAATCCTTTTTTTCATCTGTTCAAAAATCTTCAAAATTATAATATTTCTCTCTCCCCCACACAGGAGTAAATTATCCTTTGTGGGGGGGGGGGGGGGGGTTGAAAATTGTTAGGCACATCAATTTATTAAGCTATATTTTTATTTTTATTGTACTTTCTCTTAACAATATGTAGGTAGTTAATTGGACCTGGGAATCTCCATATTCTGTGTAAAAAAACGCTAAATTATAATTTATTTCTAAAAAAAAACTTTAAAATGATACCTAATTTATGCAAATTTATGCAGTTTTAAGAGAGTTGTGGTGTACCGACAAAAAAGTACTTTATAAATTATATAATGTATAGATTTTTAATAATACAGATTTTGGTTTTGTACCATTGTAAGGAATATAAAATATCGATCAAACTAGTAAAGAAAATAATTCAGCTGACATTACCTATCTTAAAAATTTATCTCAAAGATTCATGAGGTTTTTTTATGATGACCTGTAGAAGCTCTTGTGCTTTCATTACATAGAATGTTCGTTACAATTTTCTGTGACAAATTTAATCTAATTGGATTGTGTTAAATAGTACTTCTTTTCTTATAAACAATTCTTTTAAAATTGGTAAATATTTCTTGCTTCATTGTATAAAGTATCATTGAGAACTCTTCTAGAGAGTCCTTCTCCATAGCTGGATTGCATTTTCCTCTGCTTCCTTGCTAAAGCAGCCTTGCTTCAGATTAAGTTACGTCACTTTTGAGATAATCAGCTCTAACCAACATTGTATAACTACTAACTAGTCTAGTTAAACATTGATTAAGCTAACTTGTATTTTTCAAATAGTTTTTTAACAATGTTGCATTGATTTTCCTATTCAATATAAAAAATGAGGAATGTGTAACTTTTCCGAATTTGAAAGACCAAAGTAGTGTTTTGAAGGATTGTGAAAGCTTGGTTACTAAGAACAAATATCACCACTTGATTTGGACCTTCATAAAGAAGTGTGATGAACAATACCATTTTTGTGTGCTTTTTAATTAATTGTGGCTTCTACCATCTCACCGATTTGGCAAAGAAAAGTGTGTTATTACCATCAAGCATTTGAATGCTTATGCATGCCCGTGCGTGAGACTTGAACTAACACACCTGCAAAGAGCAAACAAAATACTTGACGGAATCTGCTGTTGTTGGTTTCAGTCTGTGATAAACCTCCCGAAGCCATCTGTGAGGCAAAAGCGAAGAATCCCGACGCCTCCTTCCTCAGACAGTGATGAGCCCGTCGGGCCGGGGGTTGCAACTGAGGTGACTGACAACACCACACTGAGGGTTGAGGACAAGGATCAGGAGGACTCTCTGAAGAAGAGACTCCGCCTCTTTACTGAGAATAATGGAGCGCTTCAAAGAATGAAGAGCTACAATGAGTGCGCCTTTGAGGAAGTCGTGATCGATTCTTTGTACGCTCAAAGGCGTCAACAGTTTTCCCAACATGGTCGTTCTCACAGTGATTCTGCCCACGCTTTTATATCTTCAGCAAGTTCACCAGGTTCAAGGCGGGAACGGAGTACCAGTGCGATATTCTCCATCTTCCGTTGGTTCCGAAGAGAGAGTCGGAGTGATGAGTTTGACCCGGAGTTTGCTCCCTCGGCACCCCCTTCCCCCCAGCTGATCAGAGGCCATAGCACAAGCTGCGGCAGTGTTGACACTCTGTTTAGTACGGCTACTGCAAACAGTTTTGCTTTCATACACCCGTCGTTTTATCGACCTTTTGGAGCTGCAAATCCGCCGGAGAAGTGTATTAATCCTGGCCCTGACACCGAGACTTACCGAAACAGGTTGAGACAGAGGGACAGAATAAGGGAGCTTGATAAAAATCTGACCCTGAAGAAAAAATATCACCTCTTTGGTAGTGGTACGTTGCACAGAAGTGTTGATGATGTGAACAGTAGGCATTTGTTTCTTAATAAATCCCTAGATTCTCTCAAATTAAATAATGTTCAGTCCGCTGGCAAAAATTCAACTTTAGGCAGAAAGAAAAGAAAAGCCCCTCCCCCTCCTGTATCGCTCGATGAAAAGGCTGATTCAGTGATATCTCCTTCACCTCTAGACCAGAATAAGGAAAATGTAGACATCAACTCTAAAACTAACTCGTTCCCTACGAATGATATTGTAGTTAGACGTCACAGAAGAACTGTGAGTGACTCTGCTAAGGATAGGAGGTCTGGAGCGTTTGTTCATGTCAGAGGTAAAAGGAAAGCTCCTCCTCCTCCAGTTGAAAATAACAGCAAAGAGGTCAAATCTGCCGGTAATGAGGTAGTAGGCACCCAGAGTTTGGGCAGGAAGAAGAGACATGCTCCTCCACCACCATTGATAATCAGAAGACAAGAGGATGAAATCAATTCAGGGTCTCAGGGAAAACTAAGCCCCGAAGAAAAACAAAGACTAATTGAAAACATAAACAAACTGCAAGCACATGCTGACCGTAAAAGCTTACTATTAGCTACTCCACCCGCTTCTCCCATGATGAATGACAAGGTGACTCATACAGTTTGTAATGATTCTCTCAAGTTAGAGAGGGGAGTTTTGAAGGCGAACAAAACAGAGGTCCAGTCTGCTGAAGCAAAACCTGCCACTCCGACCACGCCAACTCCAGTATCTCCAAGACCTTGGTATAAAAGAAATGCCGGGAACAAAGAAAAAAGCCTTGAAAAAAGAAAAGAAAAAACTAGTGCTGTAGATTGGATGCCTGAAGTTGCCATTGTTAGGCGAAATGCTATAAACAGTGAAAATAACAATAGCAGCAGCGTCAGTAGTAGTAGTAATAGCCATTCAAATAGCTACAGACTGTCAAGTATTTTTTCAAGGTTTGATAAACCAGAAGAAAAGAGAAAATCTCAGATATCGATGTTGGCTAATATTAGTGAGCTAGATAGGGAAGCAGCCGAAATTGTACAAAGAGAGCAAGAGAAGGAAAGAGCAATGTTGGCTGCTCAAGATGCAAAGTATTACACATCTTCAGCTGATTGTGTTGAAAACCATGATAATGATTTACATGACTTGGATATAATGTCTGAAGAAGATAGAGCACAGAAAAATCCTGACTCACCTAAGAAGAGCGGGGCTCGAGAATTAATATCGTTGTTTAATGCCATAGGCAACGTCACCAAAGTCACAATGCACTCTGCTTTCTTCTCCAAAGATGGTCCCAGTATATTTTCCAAAGAAGGTATTGAAAAGCGGTTTTCATCATCAGGAGAAGGTATAAAAATCTCAGAAGGTGTAACTACAGAGAGTATTATAAACTGTAATGGATATAAAGAGCAAATTACTGTTGTAGAAACAAAAGAAAGCTATTTAGAATCTCCAGGAATTAAAAGGCGAAAGCATTTAAAGCATCAACATTCAGATGAGCTGGGATCGGCAGGGAGCTCAGAAACTGTATCTCCTAGAGTAGTAATTGAGGAAATAGTAGATGATTTGGAAAAGTCTAAAACTCAAGCTTTATACGAAGCTAATAAAATAAGAAAACATCACTCACCTAGCCCAAGTATTCCAACTATTGCAGAGATGTCTGAATCTTTCAGCTCTGTTACAGCTTCTGCCAGTTCAACAATAAATGCTAGTGAGAGATCATCAGTAACTCCGACCCCAACAGTTACAGAACCTCCGATAGTTGTTGGAAAGACTGAGGGAATTTCTGATAAATCTGCTTCAAAAGGAGTCACTACTGATGATTCTGTAAAGGTTCGAAGGGCTGACCCTGTCACAAAACCACCTTCTAAGAACTACAGCATTTGGTCTTGTCCTCGGTGTACCCTTGAAAACCCCCGATGGAGGGTGACTTGTGAGGCCTGTGACATGTGGAGGCCTGCGGTGAGGAGAGACGTGATTGACAAACTAACCAACGCCAACATGGGAACTACAATAGGCGTCAACCTGGTCAAAGGTGAGTCCAAAAATACATCTGCAATCAAAGGCTTATCATCACAGACAGAGAATTCAGTTGATGCAAAACCCAACAGCAGCTCAATCAACAGTAGTAAACCAGTTGAATCTAAATCCCAGCCGGCAACTAAAGCAGATAAGAGTCCAATTGATGGTGCTGTCGCAAAACAACCAATCGCGAAACCCATAACTGTCAGTGGACTTTTAAATGGAAGCTGTTATATGCCAAAGACATCTGATGTTCCTGAAAATAAAAATTCCACTGATCTCAAAACAAGAAATGAAATTTCTTCAACCAAAGAAACCAAAAGAAAGCTGGTAGAGCAGCAGATTACAGTGAAACCAAATACAACACCAGTTTCTGCAAATTCACCTGCTCTTGAGAAAGTGAACAATTCTTTGGATACCGCATCATCAAGCTCTAATACAATTTCTGCATCTGGAGCCCAAACGGAAACTGGTGTAGAAGAAGTTAGGAAAGCGAGGTTGGCATTTTTTGGAAAATCTCATTCAGACAGTAAAGGTGACACTGATAAAGAGATCTCTGCTGAAGGCTCGTCGATTAATCAGGCTAAAATTGATGCATTATTCTCTATAGCATCTAAAGGTTCTTTAGCGACAAATGAAGAAGAAAGGTTAAAAGTAAAAGAAATATTGAAAGAAATGAAAAACTCCTTACCAAAAAAATTTAAGGAGAGCAAATCTGAAGCAGGGCACAGTAAAGTAAAATCTAAAGCAGAAACAATCTTAAACGAGGATGATAATATTCCAAATACATCATCTTCAAACTCGCCCAGTAGCTCAGATGAGGCTGCACGATTAGGTGCCATAAAAAAATCAAAAGCTCAAACATCCTTTCTGTCTTCTAAAGCCACAGGCCTCCCAACTGAAAGAAAACATGTGGCAGAAGCATATTTCATAAAATCAGAAACAATCATTGAAGAATTAAAAATGAAAGACTACAAATCACCCAAAATCTCGACTTCTGTACAAACTAGTGGTGTTGTTCGGAAAGTGGAGAGTAACAAGTCAGCTGCAACAATCTCTGCAAAACCTCCGACACCAAAGTCAACACGGCGAGAAATAACAGTTCCAGTTACAGTGGAGGAACACATCTTAAAAGACGGAGGCGTTGAGACAACAGCTACACAAGAAACCAAAAAAGTGGGTATTGGGGCGTTTAAACTTATAAGGCCAAGGGACTTTGCAAACATCAAAGCGACCAAGACCGGCGATGAAGCGAAGCCGCTTCATGTCTATGTGAATGTTCCAAGGGCGCTAGATGATGATTCGTCATCCAGTTCGTCCAGTGACAGTCCAGAAGTTACACAGCTGTCGGCAGAACTTACCAAGCCTAAGGGGCTGGCTGATTTCAAAGGTAATTTTAGGTAATGGGCATTGTGAGCAATTAATAAACTCCCTAAAATATATTATTATAAACTTTGAACTGTTTAAACTGAATTAGAATTTCTTTAATGTAATTTCATTAAACTTAAGGGTGCCTTAAAAAAATATAAAGATTTGTACGGTATCCCTTTGATGTAGCTTTGTAAACTAACTCAAAAGTATACATTCTTTAAATATCTAGACTTGTCATTCATGAGGTTTGAATTAAGAATTGAATTTTTCTGATATTAGGAATCCTTATTAAATTAAAGGATTTTAAAATGATGATTATTTTTTCTTCTTTGATGGATTTGTGTAGACTCATTTAAAAAATACATTTCTAAAATGTCCACTTATTAAGGTTAGAACTTTGACCATTGATAGAAGTATACATCACTAGACGATGTAAAAGCTGAAGCGATATTTGACATAATAAACGGTATCACCAATCTGACACATACTTTCTCCCATTAGCTTGTCAACAACCTCTTCATAAGTAAGCGGTGAGAGTAACTATGATACGTTATAGGGAAAATCGCAAATTTTGCAATAGCTTGTGAACCGTAATTTTTACACGGCAATGGTGTTTGCACGATTTTGTTTAGAATTATAAGGAGCATAACATAATAATTTTAGTCAAAACTGGCTTTTTTTAAATCTGATTTTATTTTATTTTATGGGTTTTTAAATGGGAAAACAACATAAGTTACAATGACTTTCAAACCGTAATTTGTACAGCAATGGGAGTTGTACCATTTTATTCAGAATTTAAAAGACTACAACATAATTTTTATCAAAATCTTTTATGCCATTTTTGAGTAACAGTTTTTCTGTTATTTTATGGGTTTTTATGAGAAAATCATCATGAAAAATCTAAATTTCATAAAACGCCTGGAGATACCATTGGTTATTACCTACATACCAATTTTCATCAAAATTAGACCACAGGTGTGGTCTGTAGTTGTGTACACATCCACTCATACAGACAGACACACAGACAAAAAAAAAAAAAAAAAACCCAGGGCTCAGGGGGACCCAAAACGGATATATCTACTCAAGACTCAAACACAAACTTTTGACCAAAACGATACTTAATATACTTATGGTATAGGGAGAGAAAGTAAAAATGGACAAAGTTGACTATCAACAGTGTGTGCTACTGATGTCAATTACTGATTTCTGTCTAATATCAAAACTTTCAACCAAGTAAAATTGAAAGGAACTTATAAACTATAGCATCTTTTATGTTATGTTAAACATGATGGTTGGCCTACCAAAAATCAAACAAGACAATCAAGTTTTGACAACAGTGCGCTCTTATTGGACTATGTTCTTTTTGTATGAAAAAACTAACTACAGGTGGTCCATATAGATGGGATGTCTACTATAGTATCCAAAAGTCAATAGTTTAAACTAAGAGAACTTTATTGTACTTAAAATTTTACTTAAAATCAAAATGGAATGATTTATATTTTGGTTATCAGCTTCGGTGATGGAGCATGGAGCCGGCAACAAGATGAACACACTGGCCGTCAACAGACTACTGCGTCAGCTAGAAACGGCCATCGCTGGTGGTCAGCACATGCGAGCGGCCACACTGGCCAAACAGCTGGCCAGGCACAAGATCAACTGCTGCGTTACACGGCACAAACAGACTGACAACATAACGTGAGTATCGACAATAAAATTTGGTAAAAGCAGCATGTTGTGCGGTCTTTGCTAAGCTATAAGAATGACACTGGAAATCCTAGAGGTCAAAGGGATTGTTCATGAGTTTGTGGAACATGTTCTGTTGCTAATATAACAATTGCTAATCGTATTTCTGTAGATATTGGCTTGGTTTGAGTTTTTTTTTTTTTTTTTTTTTGAACTATTTGAAACTAATATCAATGCTACTTTTTGTTTTGCTGATTTTTTTTGGAAATAAGAGTTGGTATGAAGACCTACTGGTCTAAAATAAAACAGTAGTGTGAACAGTTTATCAAAGAATAACTATTAATGGCCTTTGAGTACATTTTCTACAATACAGCACAATAAGATGAGTTGTGAGAAATGGTCAAGAATGTCACTGTTGTGAGTCACATCGGGAATGCATTTTATATTTAGACCCAATATACGAACTGTTGAAAAATAACTGAAAAATCTAAGGCCTAATATGAGGACTTCTACTGTAAGGGTAAATTAAATCACTTGTATTGTAATGAAGGGTAGCCTAGGCAAGCTAGGTTGATGACCTATGGTCAGGCTACCTCGGAAGCGTGCTGGAGGTGTTTTTTTAACACTGAGAGCTTTGCACTCAGTAGCTATTGAGGTTCAATAAATAGGCAACCTGAGGTTGAGAAAGGGGTCAGTCGGCCAGGGCAGGGTGCCCAGAAGAGTTGGGTGAGTACTGGTTGCTCTATTTTAGGGTTAGGCCCTTTAGCCGGGAGTTTTGCAAAGGTAAAGTTTTATTTAAAGGGGATTTTGAGTTCAATAGGGAGTGGTGTGTTTTGTGGTTTAGATGAGAGAAACTCTTTTGGGTTTGATATTCTATTGATTATAAATTACATGGCAGTAGATCGATTTTTTGGGGGATATTATATTCAGAGTTTTAGCTGTCTCCAGGACCTTTCCAGTTAGCCATTCATTAGTGGGTTTGTTGTTAATAATGGTTTTATTGTTGTATAGAATAGTTAATTACTTTGAGATAATAAAAAGGTTTAGTACTTTGAATTTAATCTGGTCCTCTCATTTGACAGCCATCCAACTCCTAGCTAAATTCATATAAGGTTAAAGATCCGGGTTTTACTAAAGCTACGCTCCCATGTGTATATGCAAGATAACCTGTGAAGTGTGAGGGGGTTTCCTGCATATCACAGTATGCTTTTAGTTACTTTACTCTTCACGTGTTTTATTGTTTATAGTTAATAAATTAAGGTACAAGTTTAGCTGATAGTCTTGTATTTAATTTAATCATTTGTTTTAGTGTGGATGTTTACGTGGAAGACAGACTAACCCACCAGGGTCCATACCCAGTACAGGTGTCTCCTTCAATGACTGTCGCTCAGCTCAAGGTAAAATTATGGGTATTTGTGACGCATAGCGGCACGCTATATTTTTTATAGTGTGTGCATTTCGCGAAGCCGGGCTGCATGTTCCCGTTGTTGCCTGCCGCGATTGCATCAACGTCTCTCCCCACTTCCCCACCTACGTCGACTCCTCTCCTCTTGTTTGCTAAACCAACCTCGACACGGAAAACAACCTGAAATAACTCCGACCGTCTCTCTCGTCATAAATGGATAAGTTTATTTGTAATTAATATGTAGGAATAAGTTAAAATTATGGTTGGCTAAGTCAGGAAACAAACGGGGAGCCTTTCTGGCTCACCCGACCATTGAAATGTAGGAAATCACAACTTAGTAGGTTGGGTGCCTTCTGCACCCAACGTTCTTAAACATGAAATATTAAACCACATGTTCCCAGAATATGGCTTAGCAATTATCCATCAAATTCATGCATATTAACCGTTCAGTATTCAATTTACATATTATTTCCCTCACTCATCAATATTAGTAAGTGATTATCCAAGTTCAGTTCATAGTTGGAAGGATAGGTAAATACTTAAATAGTTAGTTCAATTAGTGCAAATCAAAGCTGGCTAGGCAAGTGTTCTGATCTGGGTAAAAGGTCTCCGTCCCTCTGGTCCCCAGCAATCTTCCTAATTTTATTGGTAGCAGATTCAGCACGCTTAAATTAAGTTTGGTCCAGACACACCTATTCCTAACCTATTAGCATTACCCTGTTTATTCCCTCCTGATTACCCAAATTCCCTCCTCCATACCATACCATTAACCCCCATCAATCACCCCCACCCAACGGCCCCCGGCTACATATTGAAACACCTTGTTTTACGACTTTAGGCAGTTGTATTAATCAAAATGACCAAATTGTTACAGATTTATGTGGACTAGACAAACAATAAACACTTTTTGAGTCCTTTTTGAGATTAGTAAATAAATTCACCTGTCCTGTTCTTGGCTAGTACACTGCTAGTGACAGAATTGCAGGGAAACAAATGTTACCTACAACATACATAATGCCTTTGCTTCTTAGATCTTGAGTTTTATAGAGCGCGCTGCTGTTAATTTTATAGTTCCAGTACTTTGTTGAAATTGATTATGGAGTTCTTGGCTAGTCCACCAATTTGAATGCCAAAATAAGTTAATGAATCATTGTAATGGGCAGGGCCGGATTTCCCAATAGGCCCGGGCCTATGGGCGCGAGCTCCCAAAGGGCGCACGGCCGAGAGGAAATTTTTTTGAATATCTAAAAATAAAAGTAAATAATTGATAAAAACTCTGGCTAATAAATCATTCTGATTCTTAAGTTCATAGGAAGAAATAATTGTTAGAGAATTTAAACTATTTTTCAGAATTATGCATCAATTTCATTACAACATTGGTAACGAACATTGGTTATACGGGTAGGATGTAGGGTTGACGAGTGCCCGAGCGGTACCACAGAAAACATACTTCTGTGACGGTACGCATCGCTACTGCACTGCCACTATGCTGGCTCTGCGCTACTGATCGGAGTGTATGGGGCGCATGCATTCTAGACACTGTTACCACCCTCACCTCACAAAAAAATTAACTAATCTTTTGATTAGTTAACATCAATCTGCAGTATCAAGTTAAAATATATCATACGATGTGTTGAATATTAAAAAAAACCATGAATGTATCTTTAAAATCAACGAAAAAATATTAATCTCAGTTTGCAATAGGTTTTAGAAAAAATCAATACCCTCCAAAGCACCATTAATGCTGTCCTTTACCTCAGACCTAAGGATCGGTATGGTTGGCCGGAATATTGTTCTGTTTTGCTTTGGAAATTTAACCTAGATACAGTACGACCATAGATTAAATATAACTCAAGTAGACTTCTTATCACATTGTTAATTCAAAAGTTTTTTCATGTCTAGTTCATGTTGGTGACACTGGACATTAGTTTTGAGAGTTTTGACATAATTTTGTTTCTATTATTTTAGGGTTAGTTATGTGTGTTTTAATTTCTTGTAATATAACCAGGAGACGATCTATTGTTTATGATTAGATCATTTTATTTTGGATAAACTAGGTTTAAATAACAAGAATTGTTTTCAGCTAATCCATAATGATGACAAATCCACAAATCTACTAAAAGAGTTTGATTAATCTATGGTATCACGTACTGTATGGAGTTAATGTTTTTGGACCTGAAATTGGAATCAATGGCCATGTTTTTTGCAGGAATGCTCGGTCGGTTGAGTTTTTTTGTTTCAGTCCCACAAACTTGAGCATTTACTTAAAGCATAAAATTGCTAAAGTTGTTTAAGACGGCATTTTGTTAAGAAACAAGTCAATTCTTCAAAAAACTTGCAATGATAAAATTCCGACGAGGAGTGGTATTCAAGCAATTAACTTAGGCCTATGGGCATGATATAGTTTTTAATAAAGGCTTGAAGGAAAGTAGGCCTAACTGTGACCAGACTAGGGGGCGGAAAATTATTTGGGCCTAGGGGCGCCAAAATGCTAGATACAGCCCTGGTAATGGGAATCAGAAATGCCGTTGATGCTGTGCAACACAAAGCTTAATCTTACTAATATTACCAACCACATCTGATGCTTTAAACAAATCACTTGTACCCTTTCAGTTGAATTTTACACAGCTCATAAAGCTGTGCAATCCTTCGTGCAATCAATTCGTTATCAGCTTGACTCTCCATTCCCCATTTTCATTTGTTGGTTCAAAGATTTTCCTAAGACACCTGTTAGTGAATTTAAGTATTTCCCATGTAGAACCTATTGTTGAATGATCCTAATATAATTTGTCTTTGTCAACGTTACAGGCTAAAGTGGAAGCTCAGTTTGAGATCCCTGCGGCTGTACAGAGATGGATACTCGGCAAACAGTTGGCAACCGACGATCGATCGACTCTTCAACAACACAACGTGACTCAACAACACTGTCCTGTCTTCCTCTACTTAGTGGCTCCAGGTAATAAACCTGTTATTATTACTGTATTACCAAATAGTTGCTTTGTTTGTGCCAACTGTGTTTCACAACGGGGTGAGGGAGGACACAAAAAATAATAATAGGTTCTTTAAACCTACTGAAAAAACACACCCACCATGGATTATAGAGAGCTCAACCTCAACTGTACTGCTTATTTAAGTCAATATTGTGACGTCCATTTCCACACTGATTAATAAAACACCAGTTAAAATGATCAGGTTCAAGTAACTTTAAACAGTGATAAGTGTCCGGATAAACCTTAGTGCGGAGATCTGCCTCATCCGTACATGGTTTGCGTTTATGGAATGTGTAATTAGCAGTATGGCCGAATAAAAAATCTATTAACTGTAGGCCTATTGGAATTTAAAATAGAAAATATATGGTAAGAGGTTAACTTAGGGAAAAGTAAACCAACAGTTATAAATACAAAGAAATGGAACAACTGATGTGTATACAATATTTGACATGTGACTAAATGATTAAATACAACTATATGATTACAATACTTTGATTAGGTCAATTCCAGGCCCAGTTACAATCCATTAAAAAGCTTCCGACTTTTTTTGGGGTAAAACCAGCAACTTCATGGTTAAACTTTGTTCCTGAAATTTAATTGCAGGAAATTCAGTTTGAGCTTTCTTGTTCCGTGTTCGGAAAATAATACGAGACTAATCGTCACATAGTGGTCAGGACTGGCTAGTATAGTAGTCCGTAATTTAAAGAATCGCAGGTTTCAGATTTGAACTAGCTCTCTTGAGTGTAAGCTGTACTGAAGCTTAATGGAAACCTTAATTTACAGACTATTGTATCATTACTATACACAAATGTTTGATGTATGATTTTGTCCAACATCTTTAGAGTCAGAAACGACAAAGACGGCAGAATTAGTCGCAGAGAGAGAGCCAGAGGAAGCCATAGCTATAGCAGCAGGAACTACGCCAACACAACCTAATGGCAGAGGCTGGTACTATAATGATGAGGAGGACCACTACAGCCTGTGTGAGAGTGAAGTCACGGAACACTCCAGGTAAAAAAACGTTTTACCAAACTGACACATACTTTATTCGACATTAGCACTGACATACCTAATTTCATTAAATTTAGACCACATGTAAACTTGTACATTTTTATGATATTGTAGGCTACAAGGAAAATCACAATATTTTTAATAACTTTTGAACAGCGTTGAATAATTTTCACAGAGTTGGGGGTTGTGTCATTTTGTCATCAACAGGGTTAAAAAGACTAAAATATACTAAATTTCAATCAAAATCGTTAGAGCGATTTTTTTGAATTTGGACCGAAGGTGTGAAGGATCTGGACCAGAGGTGTGATGGATTAAATCATTCGTCATATTGATTTAACCTCCTTACCGTCACTCAACAGAGCAATTTTAATTGAACGTGTAACAAAAGTTCTTGTTTGTGAAGGGCTAGTAATAGTATAATTTTATAATAGTTATAAAAAAATAAACAATGAGACTTGAAAATAAAAATACAAACTTGTGAGACAAAGAAATAAATCAGTAAATTAATATGTACTGTATGTAAAAAAAAATAAGTTGGCATTTAAAGGTTTTATGTAAACGATTTTATGTAAAGGAAAAAAACACTGGTTGTACTTTTAACTATCCTTAGGACCACACTTCTCTTTTATAGTTTTTAGCTATCAGTCATCTTTCTGTATACAGAGATATATGATGAATGGTTTTTGTAACTATAGCAAAGGCAGCAGTCCAGAGCCTAGAGTAGAATCTCCACCAGAGCAAGTACCTGACGTAGTGGAAGAAGCTCTCGTAGTCTTCCCTGTGAATCAACCTGAGGAAGCAGTAGAAGATGTAGGGGTAGAAGCAAACGGAGCTACAGGACCAGACCCATTACCAACTCCAACTACTGTTGTTGACTGTCAGGCTACAGGTTGGGCTTTGTATTTTTTTTATTTGAAACCACAAATGGTCGGGCTAACTAGTTTTGTAAACTCAGTAGTGTAAGAGGTTGTCAGTTGAAAACATAGTAAGTATAGTAGTTTTCCATTTGCTCAAAACACTTGGACATCAGATCTTCTTTATGACGTCCTATAGCATATAACATGTTTTGAAAAAATGGAGCAAAGAAAAACTAAACAGGTGGTCCTCTGTAGTGTATTTATAGATAAAGATAAAGCAAGGTGGTGGAGTTATATGAACAACTAGAGATAAATCAACTAACTGGAAATTGAACATTTTCACAAACACAAAATGGCAAACAGAATGGCAAGAGCACTATCTGGTCTGTTTCAAGTTAGTTTAAAAAGCAAAATTTTTATCTATTATGACTATTTACTGTCATTACCAGGTGTGTGAACTATCGTTGTACCAAGGCTTCACTAACACTGGACAGATTTGAAGGGTCTCAATTGTTGTTGTTCCAATCTACTGATTGTTGTGTTGTATGTTGTAAGGCTGGAAGTGTACTGCGTGTACCCTGATCAACACTCTGACAAGACCAGGTTGTATGGCTTGTGGCTCTGATAGACCAGCTGACTACCAGGCCACTGGTGCTGAACAACAGAGGCTGCTAGAGGAACCCAACACTCATCAGGTGAAGTGGGTCGGATAAGTGAAACCAGTTGGGTGTTTGCAGCCTACTGATACAGAATAGCCTTGATTATCAGAAACAATTGAGGCAGAGGGTAGAAGGGTGTTCAGATAATGAAATTTTTGGACAATCGGACTTCAACAAAATGTCTGATTATATTTAAGTAACGCCTTTAATACATAGGCTACAGAAATTAAACCAATTTATAAAATGTGTCTATGTTTATAGTTTCTTCAGTGGATGTCTTTGATGACATAGGACTCTATTTCTTGGAATTCAATCAGCTAACTAAAATATTAAAAGATTTAGGCCTAACATTAATTATATTGTTGTGTACACTTTGAAAAAAAAATTAATAATAAATTATAACTTAACTGCTTATTTGGTGTTAATTATTAATAGAACGCGATCCTTCTTCATGTTTCACTTTTCTTTTGAGTGTACAGCATTCAGTATGGATAAACAATTTTCAGGCCAAAGAGAAATCTTTAAGCAGTAGAAAATATATTTCTTACTTCAAACTTCTATAAAAATATAAGCCTAGGCCTATTCTATAAAAAATGTATTACCTAAATTGATTTGTTGTGGAAATGAATATTGTCTTGAGTTCTGACCTATGTTATGTGTTCAGGCTGCCGGTGAAGAGAAGACGAAGAACTATCAAGAGTTGATGGTGTTGGAGAATGCAGACTTGATCCCCAGCTCGGAAGCGTTTGAGTGCACGGTGTGTCTCACTGAGTGCGCAGCGGGTGACGGTGTGGTGCTGCGTGACTGTCTGCACTCGTTCTGTCGTGCTTGTCTTGCGCACACCGTGCAGTTCACGGACGACGCCGAGGTCAAGTGTCCGTTCAGAGACCATCAATACGCTTGCGACAGCACACTGCAGGAGCGGGAGATTAAGGCGGTGAGTTGCTGTGTTTATTGAACTTAATTTTACTATACATTGGTTTTATTTGTGTCTACGCCAGTAGCATTTTAATTGAAGATTTACAAACCCCTTTCAGGGAAAACTGTATAAACCAGATTTTTGTGATATGGAGGTTATCAAACATGTCCCTCTTACGCCTAAGTTTGACTCACCAACCAGTAGGCTAGTTACACCCATTAAAAATTATTGCCAAATGCAAACCCAATCGTTATACTGTACAGCAATTTTTTAAGTTTTTTTTTTATATGATGGGGCTATAGCATAGCTACCCCAGGCTACTTCGACCTGTTGGCCATTTTCAGCACCTCTCGAATCTGTCCATCAACCTGACGTGTTAAGATTTTTGTTATATAGAGACCTCTCTCCAAATCACAACTTTCTAAAGATATATTCAAGCACATAGTTCTCTGTAAGATTTGGTTGTGTATTTTAGTTTGTATCATCCAACATCCACTGCTTTTTTAGTATTCATTTACATGATTCCCAAAATAAGTAGTAACTTTTCATCCTATTTATAAAATTAAAATGTTGTATACAATTTGTGTTGCTAGACAACCAAATGTTAAACATCTTTCTAACCAAGCAAGTTGAGACAGACAAGTGTTGTTACTCTTATTACATTTTTGGACTCTTGTTTATGCGTATCATGATGTTATTTGTGTGAAATTCATTATACGTAAACAGTGGCTTATTTTGTATGTCTTGAGAATTGAGAAGAATATTTTCTATTATTCCGAATGTTCACAGTGTGCAGTTTTAGCTGAAGATCCCACATGATCTTTTCTAGTTTCAAATAAATCCTAAGTGTAACCTACAGTATTTTTTTGCAAGTTTGAAACTGTTAATTGTCAAATTGTTAGAACATTCAAAACTTTTTAATACGTTCAATATGGCTGCCCGATGGCTAGCAGCGCTCGATAGTGCAAACATTAATGTGCTGCCTGGAAAAGTGTGCGAAAAAGTTTAATTTAGTTTCATCCAAATGAGAGGCACATACTGTGCCCCAGTCATTGTGGACGTAGTTTTACAAGAAACCAACAGATAGGAGCACTAAACAATACTGCTAGCCGACCCTCAGTATTTGTCAAATGGAGGGAAAAAGCAGGGGTGAATTACCCGGATACACCATGAAAAAATACTACCAAAAAGCAATCATGCACAATTTTGAGGTTAGGTTCCTTCCACAATGCTATAGTACATTCATTATCGTTATTTTATTGCATGTCAACAGATCCAAGCCTAAACCTCACAATAAATTTGTAAATGTCCCTACCACCGATAAAATTGTCGGATCAGAAAACAAATTATACCAGATTAAAGTATAACACTGCCTCAATAAGTGGCTAGGGAAACAACGTCTCACGGCAGTGGCTAACCTCGCATTGGAACAATAGTTTGTTAACGGCGCTTTGACGAGTATACGCGTAGTGCGCCACTGGTAATCGCTAGCAGTGTCGAAATTACTCGTCATGTGCAGTGAACGGGTTAAAAAGAGCCTACAAATATTAGATGGTTGACAAAGTCGAAAGTATAAACACTAAACAGCTTGACCATGTGAACTTTTTAAAAGAATTACTTATTTTCATAGTAAATTTAGTTTCCTGTTAAGTAATTCTTTTCAAAGGATTCAGAAACCATTAATATAAGGTCGGTGAGTATGGTGAATAGTGATGGTGTCTTTTTGTGTTTTCACTATGAATTAAAAGAGAAAAATTATATTAGTTCTGGCTGTAAGTGATCTAAATAATGTTTAAATGTTTACTATACATTTTTGCTCTATAAAAATTTGACAATGAATAAGCATTGAATTGGATGATCTGTAATGCTTTTTGTTGAATGTGATATCTGTGAGCTATTGACATACCATTTTTAAACCACTTCAAAACTTAAGCTTGTGACTTCATTTTTTAAGGATGGTTTGGTCCACATATTTTACAAGATTACTCTGTAACATCAAAATTACTTATATTTTTCTCCAACTCTAAGTTTCCAAAGTTGACAAGTTTCTTCCAAGTTTCTTGAGTTGACTCGGTGAGATTTCTTCAGATCAAAGGTAAATTCTTCCTTTTTTAAATTGCTTTTCTGTATTTTTCCAACAAATAAAATCTTTACTAACTCCAATGATAACAGTAAATAGATTTGTTATGAACTCATTGGATTCAACTGTATCTCACAGTAATATCAGTTCACCAAAAAGTTTTAAATAGCATCCAATCATTGTTTAAGGATTTTCGGAAGTCTGTTAAAGTGTTTGGAAAAATACAGCATTAATCTAAAGATAGTGTGTGGAACTTTACTAATAATAGATTAAGATTAAGCATATTTGAAAATGATAATTTTTTTATTTTGTATATGGTTGTAATAGCATTAAATTCTACAGAAAAAGTAATTTCGTTTAAATGAAGTTTATATATATATATATACAGATAATACGATAGAGGTTTTACTGTGTCTTCTTTGTCAATAATGTATTGACTACAGCTGGTCCATATATTTTTCATGTATACTTCAGTACTGTATACAGAAGAGCATAGATGGCCCAACCAGTGATGTAACATTGGCATCTACCATCGATGTATACCAATAACATTGTCCGAAAACACGTTTTCAGAGTAAAAACGTTGGTGTTACAAAATCGTCAGTTAACGATGCTCATCCCTACTTCAGTAGCCTACCTATCCAAAAGTCAATTATACAGGGTGTCCCACGAAGAAGTTTAAACACTTTATTTTAGGTATATAACTTGCCTATTTATAAACCGATGGTTTTGAGCTACACACTATTTTTGAAGTAGGTTTTAAAAATATGCTAAAAAAATTTCAGCTTCCTAACTGTAAGTAATGATTGATTAATCATTGATTAGATTTCACTTAAATAAAAGATAAAATAGATGTTTTAAAGAATATGATTGAGAACAAACTGATCAAATGTTTTAAAATTCATTGTTGAACCCCTGAGCTGGAGATAATTATTGTAAGATATATTACTTACGTCAATTCGGCTCAAAACTCTAAATGGTCAATTTCAGGACATGTTTCGTCACATCTGTGTCATCATAAGCTACATCATCAGAAGTTTTTCACGTACGAGACAAAGGGAGAAAATTGGTAGAGTACGAAATATACAGAGATCACAAAAATAAAGATGCAAATGAGGTTTGTTCTAAATGAAAAACAAAATTTCAGCTCCAACTCAATATTTAATTTTCTCATTTTTTCATTCATTGAAACAGCTGTGCACTGCCTCTGTGATAACACTGATAAACCTGGATAAGGAAACAGCAGTCAGTCTGTCCCCCGACCCGCAGTGCGACTGCATGCTCGTCCCAGCAGGCCTGTGTCATTGTCCGTATGGGCTTTTGTAACAACAGTATTATTATTTTTTAATTAAATGTCTATGTTTTGAGTTCGGGGTTTGTGTACTCAAGAACTATGTCGAAGCCATTTTGTGGAATATAAATCACTAGTGCTCAGCTGATGATGACACAGATGTGTCGAAACGTGTTCTGAAATTCACCATTCAGAATTTTGAGCTGAATTGATGCAAGTACTGTAGTATGTCTTACGATAAAATGTAAAGAAAGAAATGTTAAATAGATTATTAACATATAAATACAACATATGATTTGATGTCCAGATGGCCAGGCAGAAGGTATTAGAAATACAATTTTTAACACTAACATTTGTAGAAACAAAATGTAGGCAGTTAAAAATTGTTACCAATTCGCTTCCTATAAAAATTACTTTCCTTAGTTAATACCCGATTTGTTTACTTTGTAGCAGTTTTAACGATTATTGTACAACAACAATACAGTTTGATTTAAGAACATTGGTTGAACTATAAAAAGATTAGGCTAACCTTCTCATGTGCAGTTTCAATAAAACCAAAGATTGAGAATGACTTAATTTTAAACAATAAGTATTAGTATTGTTAAACATCTATTTGATTGATGGGTATTCTAGTGCCATAAAAACATAATCTAATCTTCTCAAGTGCAGTTTAATTGAAACTGAAGTTGGAGGGGTGTCTTTTTTAATCTCAACAAAAAATCAAGTGTGCATAGAATACTTTTTTTTAATTTTTAATTATTATTTAAAAAATTTAGTAAATTTTTGAGACTGTTTGTAAATGGGCGAGTCATATAAAATCTAACATTTAAACCTCTTTGAGAGACACCCTGTATATCTGTGTGTATTTGTGGTTGCAGGTGGCGGATGTAGAGGAGGATGACTCATGCATCATCTGCATGGCAGAGCCAAGGTGTTGTGCTCTCACTCCTTGTGGTCACCGAGCTTACTGTGAGACTTGCTGTCTGCGGCTGATAGAACTGGACCACATGTGCTCACTGTGTAGACGCAAGGCTGACGGCTACCTACTCATCTATCTGTAGAAACACCAGCCGTATTCAACCTGACTCCGTTCAGTATTTGGCCAAGATCTTGGAAGTTGATAATGATTTTTTCATGACCACAGGATATGTCAAGGATTTTTTTTCTTCCAAGATTGTGGCAAAACCCTGGGCAAATTCCTGTGGTCATGGAAAAATCAGTCTTCCGCACTTGTGACAAAACCATGAAAATCTCCTGTGTCCGTTTAGTTATCATCGTCGCCTTCCACGATCTTGGCAAAATCCTAAACATCTACTGCAGTCAATTAGACATTATCATCTCCTTTTTCTGAAAAATACTGAACATCTCCTCTAATGGTTACAGAAATACCATCGTAGTCTCTCGCGATCACTGAAACTTTATCATCATCATTCGTAATTGCGGTGAAAGCATGAATTTTCTGATTACACAATGTTAATATACAAGTCCTGCAATCTCAATAGTAAAATTTCCGTTTGAGCATTCAATCTCTCATGCTTTTAGACGAGGCTCGAAACTATAGCTGCTTGCACACCTCTATGGATATAGCTTATAATGAAACCAAAGGTCGGATGTTTCAAGGAGTCGGTTATGCCGAGGTCGGATATGAGGGGTTCCTCTCTATTGAAAAATACAGTTTTTGCTGCAATATGACAAAAAAGATTGTTAAAAAACTTAGATTCATTGTGGGAAGAAACAATAGTAGCTAAAAAAAATATAGACATGTACAAGAATCACACTGCTAGTCAAGTCTTAATTCCTGACAATTTTTGATTTGATGAAAATTGTTTTGAGAGTGGAAATATTTAAATGTTGTTTACTATTTTTGTTGTTGTATACTGCTGTTATAATATAATTCAAACTGCAGTTTGTAAAGTGGCATATTTGTAAGATTTTTTCATAACGGTTACGGTTTGGTTTTGATGAGTTTTCGAGTTACATAAATAAATGTATATTAAGCACAAAGGATAGGATAAGCACTAAGCAGGCTTACCTTGAGAAATGTAGGCATCCTACTTCACTACAGTAACACAGAAGTGTAGTGAAGTAGGATGCCTACATTTCTAAAGGTAAGCCTGCTCATCCAATCATTTGTCTCCTTAATTCTCAGGCAATAAGCCCTTTCTATTCTAACATAAATGTAGATTAGATATACAATGTGAAATACTTTTAGAATCATATTTTCATTATATGTAGTTTCCGCTCTTAAGACATGTTGAAGATAATCAAATTCAATTGCAGTGATAGTTTTTGGTGTATTTTTAAAAAAGTTTGTGAAATTATGGTGGTAAGGTATTTAACAGTAAATTAAAGAGAACATTTTGTGTGTGTGTTAAAATTCTCAAATACAACACTGCCTTATACATTTATATGGGACACCTGGTAAAGAAGATACTTGGTAAATTTGAGAAAGATTTAATGAATGTAAACACAATTAGTAATGAATATAACCAAATTTATAATTGAGTTATATTTAACATTTCAAACAGTTTTTTTTTTTTTATATTCTATTATTCTAATGTAAAAGATTATATAATCGTACTGATAAAAGTTATCCTCATTGATTAAGCCATGCTCAAGTTCATCACCCAAAACCTACTGCTTGTAATAATTATATTGCACAGAAAGACTTATCAAAGATGGTTACTGTACAAAAATAAATTCACTTAATATTAAAGTTAATATTAGATTAGTGTTATACTGTTATGTACTATTTAATTGATAATGTTCACATTTACTAGCTTTGCCACTGTAATAATCATTGTGATATTAAAAGATATTTTGAAAAACATGTTGTCTTACTTTGGTCATAAATTGTGTGATGGCTATCGTGGGGGGGGGGGGGCGAGAGAAAGTCAAAGTCCAGTTGCTTTGGTATGCAGTGGGACCGTGGAAGGGCAGTGACTGCCAATAACAACACCCCCAGAAAGGGGAATTTTTGTTTGGTGATTATAATCTCAAGTGTCAAAACATTGTCCTTAGTTGATATTAATTTTCTGACAGTGACAAGTTTTAAGTCATTTGTTTCTGTTGTAGTAATGTAAATAAATGGTGACAATGTTTGATTAAAATACAAGTACAAGGTGACCGAGCATTGCTCAAGGTGTTGGATTTCCTGCAGGTCTATGATACTATGGGGTGTGGACTAACTGCTATCGGAGCAGTCACGGAATTTGGCAGTTAAGGAAATGCTTAGACCCAGCCCCTGTGTATTAATTTTGTGCCTAAAAACGTAGCTAAATTTGACAGCTAAGGCCTTTAGAGCTACAGAAATAGGTAATACCGGTAGTTATTTCCAAAATGTCAAATAGTATATTGCCTAAAAATGATAAAAAAATATATAAATGTTGATTGCACGTTCTATAACCTATTTGCAGAAACAAAATTATTCTGATTGTGTCTCTGGAATCACAATCAACTTAAACAATTGAAATTGACGGATCAACAGTTTTGCAAAGGAAATATGACTTATTCTTTTGAAGATGTCTAAAGCCTCTAGAGCTCTGAATCGCAGGAGGCCAGAGCATAAAGAGGGTCATCTTGTGTTCCTGAAGTGACAGAGTTGACCAAGACGTAGGCCCAGTAGCTCTGATCAGCTGGTACCATGTGTCCAGCAGCCCTCACTAACACATCGTACAGGTGGTGACTGCCCTTGTAGTAGCCTGCTAGCTCCTACAATAACATGAGTGATAAGTGACAAAACATCAATAGTTGACCAAGACATAGGCCCAGTAGCTCTGATCAGCTGGTACCATGTGTCCAGCAACCCTCACCAACACATCGTACAGGTGGTGACTGCCCTTGTAGTAGCCTGCTAGCTCTCCTACAGTAACATGAGTGATAAGTGACAAACATCAATAGTTGACCAAGACATAGGCCCAGTAGCTCTGGTCAGCTGGTACCATGTGTCCAGCAGCCCTCACTAACACATCGTACAGGTGGTGACTGCCCTTGTAGTAGCCTGCTAGCTCCTACAATAACATGAGTGATAAGTGACAAACATCAATAGTTGACCAAGACAGGCCCAGTAGTTGTGATCAGCTGGTACCATGTGTCTAGCAACCCTCACCAACACATCGTACAGGTGGTGACTGCCCTTGTAGTAGCCTGCTAGCTCCTACAATAACATGAGTGATAAGTGACAAACATCAATAGTTGACCAAGACATAGGCCCAGTAGCTCTGGTCAGCTGGTACCATGTGTCCAGCAGCCCTCACTAACACATCGTACAGGTGGTGACTGCCCTTGTAGTAGCCTGCTAGCTCCTACAATAACATGAGTGATAAGTGACAAACATCAATAGTTGACCAAGACGTAGGCCCAGTAGTTGTGATCAGCTGGTACCATGTGTCCAGCAGCCCTCACCAACACATCGTACAGGTGGTGACTGCCCTTGTAGTAGCCTGCTAGCTCCTACAATAACATGAGTGATAAGTGACAAACATCAATAGTTGACCAAGACAGGCCCAGTAGTTGTGATCAGCTGGTACCATGTGTCCAGCAACCCTCACCAACACATCGTACAGGTGGTGACTGCCCTTGTAGTAGCCTGCTAGCTCCTACAATAACATGAGTGATAAGTGACAAACATCAATAGTTGACCAAGACATAGGCCCAGTAGCTCTGGTCAGCTGGTACCATGTGTCCAGCAGCCCTCACTAACACATCGTACAGGTGGTGACTGCCCTTGTAGTAGCCTGCTAGCTCCTACAATAACATGAGTGATAAGTGACAAACATCAATAGTTGACCAAGACATAGGCCCAGTAGCTCTGGTCAGCTGGTACCATGTGTCCAGCAGCCCTCACCAACACATCGTACAGGTGGTGACTGCCCTTGTAGTAGCCTGCTAGCTCCTACAATAACATGAGTGATAAGTGACAAACATCAATAGTTGACCAAGACAGGCCCAGTAGTTGTGATCAGCTGGTACCATGTGTCCAGCAGCCCTCACTAACACATCGTACAGGTGGTGACTGCCCTTGTAGTAGCCTGCTAGCTCTCCTACAGTAACATGAGTGATAAGTGACAAACATCAATAGTTGACCAAGACATAGACCCAGTAGTTGTGATCAGCTGGTACCATGTGTCCAGCAGCCCTCACCAACACATCGTACAGGTGGTGACTGCCCTTGTAGTAGCCTGCTAGCTCTCCTACAGTAACATGAGTGATAAGTGACAAACATCAATAGTTGACCAAGACATAGGCCCAGTAGCTCTGGTCAGCTGGTACCATGTGTCCAGCAGCCCTCACTAACACATCGTACAGGTGGTGACTGCCCTTGTAGTAGCCTGCTAGCTCTCCTACAGTAACATGAGTGATAAGTGACAAACATCAATAGTTGACCAAGACATAGGCCCAGTAGTTGTGATCAGCTGGTACCATGTGTCCAGCAGCCCTCACCAACACATCGTACAGGTGGTGACTGCCCTTGTAGTAGCCTGCTAGCTCCTACAATAACATGAGTGATAAGTGACAAACATCAATAGTTGACCAAGACATAGGCCCAGTAGTTGTGATCAGCTGGTACCATGTGTCCAGCAGCTCTCACCAACAACACATACAGGTGGTGACAGCCCTTGTACAGTTCGGCTGCTTAGATAGCAACCTCCTCTAGCATTGGTTAGCATTAGCGTGCAGGTCGCTATCCAAGCGGCCGAACTATAGTAACTATAGTAGCTCATGCTCCTAGATGAGTGAGTGACAAACATCAATTTTTGATCAAGCAGGGCCATAGAATAACCAACACAAGTAGACTTTTTATCCCATTGTAAATTTTGAAGCTTGTTTTTTTTTGTCCAGTTCATGTACAGTGACACTGGGCTCTAGTGTCGATCACATATAAATTCTATTATTTTAGGGTTAATTTCTTCATTTGTGCTTTACCGTTTAGTTAGTTATATAACTAGGGGGTGAGTTATCGTTTATGATTAGAATTTATTATTTGGTTAAAAGAGGTTAAATGACTGAAATAAAAAGAAAAAAATGTTAAACAAAACACAACCTCTGCAGTACACCATACAGAACTAACAATAAAATTTTCTTCAGCTGTTCCATAAGGATGAGAAATCTAGCTAGACGTCCATTAGCAGCCCTCATTGCTCCTGGTCAACTTGTATTTCACTCTTTTTTTTGTAATAAAACATAACTATAATGTAGATTTAATTAACATTTTTGCGTAAACTGGAACCAAAAATGTTAATTGATAATAGCTTTTATAAAATTATAATAAACAAAAAATGTTCCTTAAATTCTTACATACCTGATCTACGCACCACTGTGTCCTGGTAGCATTCAGATATTGATCTTCTCCGCTCCATGTCAAATTTCGCAGAAGGTTTATTGTCATGGGATACGCACAGATAATATCAACTTCCCCATTGTAAAACACAATTGGATAAACCTCGAGTAGTTCTTCTACCCATGGTTTTACCGATTGAACAATATCGTATTTCAAACTTTTATAAACTTGATTTCCCCATTGAAATTTTAGCTTTCCTACGTGAAGTGCGTTGCGAACCTGACTTGACTGAATAAATGTTTGCCAGTTTTGTTGTTCCGTAGAAGGTTGCGGAAGGAAATTGTACACACTCACATCATCACCAACAAAACGATTGTAGAGGTCTCCAGTAAAAGCATCACATGTAGTTGATGCCTTTTCCCATTTTTTAGCTGTTACTTGTTTCACAAACTGTTCTTGATAGTTTTTGTAGATACCTTTCTCAGCATCATCAATAAATCCAAGTTGATAAAGATAACTTCCATAGTCGACTTGAGATATCGGATCGACCCAGCCGTCTCCTATCATCATGGTTGTTAAGTTTACCTTTACTTTGGCAGTTGGATTGTTTTTGTGGATAGCATGGCCAAGAGCCGGAATATAATGTCCAGCATAAGATTCTCCAGTGATGAAAAACTTGTTCTTCTGGAAGTTTGGGAACAGTTGATGAAACTGAACAACCGCCTCATAGAGATCTGCTCCTACAGCCGTTTCGTTGTGAGGGTAACAGTGCTTCCCTGTGAAACTGTAACCTACCCCAACCGGTTGGTCTATGAACAGAAGATTGTTCTCCACGTTCCAAGAATATTTACGTTTTCTCAACCCTTCTTTATAGGACTCGAAAGGACCCAATTCTTCAAACAGTCCGTACATAGAAGTACTCCCAGGACCCCCCTGGAGCCAGAGCACCAAAGGCACTTCTTCCCATGTGTCTTTCTGGGCAGGGAAGAACCAGAAGAATAGATTGGAATCACAATTTTCATTAACAGTGAAAAACCCAGAATAGCTTGTTATGTTGCCAATGTCCGGATCCACTCTTGAAAGCTGTTGAGCTTTTTTGTATTTACCTTTCTTGAGTAGCGGTGTCAGAAATAGAGGGTCCTCTAAAATCTCATTTTCATTTACAGGAAAAGTCGGACCTGTTATTGGTCTGAAATTTGCCACACATGAAGACACTAAAGAACTCAAGAGAATAACCAAAGGCAGCATCTTAACAAAAATTGTTCACGGTTCTGTGTTCACACATTTGACTGATCAAACTGACTTCTCCATTTAGGATTAATATCTTATCAATATGTGTCACTCACACAATCTCGGCTTTCACTTCTATTTGATTGAGAACTTGTTCGATAAAGTTATCTGAATGACATGACATTTAAGTCGCTACTTTAAGTTGACGCTACTACTATTCTTAATGAGTGTGTAAATAAAGATTAATTGTCTATTGTCTATTGTCTATAAGTAAATCTTGACGCCCTTGACAGATAATTTTTAACAATTTCAGTGACATTTTATTTTTCAACATGGGTTGAACTTGCATTTTATATCTGCTTGTCTAATGAATGTTGCAAAAAA